TAATTTTAGGTTTAGCATTTACAGCGGGCTTCTGTCTCCGCGCTGTTGTCACCCTGTTGATGACATCAGTGACGCGGTTTAATCGGGCGCGGCTTAGTCGAGCACAGTTTTGTCGTGCCACGGTTTTTCATAATAATCCTATTTACAAAAAAAAATTCTATCTCTATATCACTATCCTAAGTTATATCCATATTTAAATACTCTCTATATATTATACTTTTACCATTTATATCTTGTTTTACATTTACTCTCAAGCCAGGAAGACCATCTATTCCAAATTTGATAGTATTGTTTCTTTCCTCTCCTTCATTTCCATAGATAGTCTATCCATTTCTGCATATTCATAAATTTTCCCTTTTATAATCGGGTCTGGGGGGGGGGGTGTATCTGTTTGTTTCCAATTCTGTGCTCGTACAATTCTACCTGCAGTTAATATGTGTAATATTATGTATTGTAGTTTTTTCTCCATTTTCCCATCAAAGATTCCCAGGAGGAACAATTCCGGCTTCAGCTCTATTCTTTGCTTAGTTATCTCTTCTAATCATTTCCTTATATTTTCCAACTTCGGGTGCCCTAACACATTTCAAACACCTTGCTTGAAATGGAGAGTTGTAATCTGAACTGTTGGATCCAACTGAGACAGAGATGGCACCTAGGTGACCTTGATCAAAATGCTACCAAAGGAGAATGGTATTCTGAAAAGCCGAGTTTCATGGCCACCCAGAAGCTAGAATTTATGGGGAAATGGCCCAGTTTGGATTGGCACCTTATATAAGTCAGTGACTAATTTCATACATTTTACTAAGCCACCATGTAGCTGGTTTGGTTGTTGCTTAATTCAATACCATGTAACCAGCCAACTGTGACTTAGTAAATGACTGTTCCACATGATCAGTTATTTTATATGGAAAATACAGGACAAGTTATTTTGCCAATTGTGGTTCCTCAAAATGCCTAGATCTTTGAAATGTCTCCTCCCTGCTTCTGAAATATAAGCCTGTTTAAGACCCTCCTACATGGATTTGCACTCCAATTTGCAAGCTGTGTGTAATGACAAATAGGAAGGGAGTCAGCTGTTTGAGATCTAAAGGAAACAGTGACCTTGGCTGCTTTTTCCAAAACCAAGAGAGTCTTGCAGAAGAAAAACGGCTGGCGGTTTGGGCTTGTTTCTTCAAGATTTTTGTTGTTGTTGTTCTCAGGTCCAAAGATAACAAGAAGCAACTGTTTAAAAAAAGGTGAGTATTGCGACAAGTTTTTCTTTTCTAATCAATTTTTGCCTGATTTCAAAATATTAAACAAATCTGGTTTATTTATGGTTTTATGGTTTTATTTGCATTTGTAGGCCGCCCTTTTCCCTGAGGGGACTCAGGGCGGCTCACAGAAAACCAGGG